CAGACACTTAATGACTGAGCCACCGAGGCACCCCATTGTAGGATATTCTTTATCTATCTATCTATCTATCTATCTATCTATCTATCTATCTATCTATCATCATCATCATCATCATCTTCATCCAATCATTTCCCTAATGAAGGATAGCTAGGTTGTTGACAGTTTTAGCTATTTTGAACAGTACTGCAGAATACATTCTTGCACACTTTCTCATGTATATGTGTGGGACTTTTGTATGTATCTGGAATTGGAAATTTGTGAGTGGTAAAGAATACCTACCTATTTTCAATTTTTTAAAATATTGCAATATTGCTCTCCAAAGTTTTTTTTCCAAATAAATTTACTTTCCCATCAATAATGTACAATTGGAAAGAAAATAATAATGTAAATTGGCATTATAGGAATTCAATTTTTTCTAATCTAATGGATATAAAATGGTATCTCATTATTGTTTTAATTTGCATTACTTTGATTATTTTCCTAAGCTTATTGGCTGTTTGGATTTCATCTTCTGAGAATTGATATTCTTTGCCCATTTTTCTATTGAGTGGTTTGGTTTTCTTATTAGTGGTATTCTGAATAATAGTTCTTTTTTAATCATATTACATAGGCAATTATATTATAAAAAACTTATCAGTCCTGTGGTGCCTGGGCGGCTCAGTCAGTTAAGCTTCTTATTCTTGATTTCAGCTCAGGTATTTTTTTTTTTTTTTTAAGATTTATTTATTTGAGAGAGAGAGAGAAAGAGGGAGGGAGAGAGAGCGCTTAGGGAGCAGGGCAGAAGGAGAGGGGAGAGAGAATCTTAAGCAGGTTCAACATGGGGCTCAATCTCATGACCCTGAGATCATGATCTGAGCTGAAATTTAGAGTCTGACGCTTAACTGAATGAGCCACCCAGGCGCCCCCTCCTTTGCCCATTTTGAAAATTTTTTTCTCCTATTAAGAGTTCTTTATATACTTTGGACACAAATCTTTTATCAGATAAGTGTTTTGCAAATTATTTTCTCCCAGTCATGTGGTTTGACTTTTCATTTTCTTAACTGTTTTTCACAGAGCAAAAGTTCTTAATTTTAATGAAGTCCAACTCACCAATTTTTCTTTCATGGATTATGTTTTTGATGTTGTATCTAAACCCAAGGTCACTTAGATTTTCTCCTATGTTTTGTCTTAAGAATTTTATAGTTTTGTTTTACATTTAGGTCTATAATCCATTTTGAGTTAATTTTCAGAAAGATTTCAAGTCTATGTCTAGATTCCTCTTTTCTTGTGTATGGACATCAAGTCCTTCCAGCACCATTTATTGAAAAAATTATCCTTCCTCCAAGAATTGCCTTATGCTCCTTTTTCAAAGATCAGTTAACTATATTTATGTGAATATATTTCTGCACTATCATGTTCCATTAATTTGTCTATTCTTTGCGAATACTTCACAGTCTTGATCACTGTAGCTTTATAGTAAGTCTTGAAGTTGGGTAGCGTCTCTCTTATGACTTTGTTCTTCTTCAGTATTTCATTGACTAATCTGGGTCCTTTTCCTTTCCATATAAACTTTACAATCAGTTTGTCAATATGCACAAAAATAACTTGTTGGGATTTGCATTGGAACTGCATCGAATATATAGATCAAGTTGATAAGAAGGGACATTTCTTATATATATATTTTAAATATTTATGTATTTATTTTAGAGAGAGAGAGAATGGGTGCTCTTATGTTTGCATGAGCTGCGGCAGAGGGAGAGGGAGAAGGAGAGGAGCAGACTCCCCACTGAGTGTGGAGCCTGCCACAGGGTTCAATCCTGCACCCCCAAAATCATGACCTGAACCTAAATCAAGGGTCAGATACTCAACCGGCTGAGCCACCCAGGCACCCCTCTTATATAAAGTTTTGTTTATAACATTAACATTTTTAATCTTCCAGAATTAATTTTTTAAAAAGATTTTATTTATTTGACAGAGAGAGACACAGAAAGAGAGGGAACACAAGCAGGGGGAGTGGGAGAGGGAGAAGCAGGCTTCCTGCTGAGCAGGGAGCCTGATGTGGGGCTCCATCCCAGGACCCTGGGATCATGACCTGAGCCAAAGGCAGACGCTTAACGACTGAGCCACCAGGCGCCCCCAGAATTAATTTTTATACATAATCTGGAGGGATAAGTTTCCCCCCATCTGAATGGCAATTATTCCAGTAATATTTATTAACTAGCCCATCTTTTCCTAACTTTTAATGCCACTTCATATATGTGTAGGTCTTTTTCTGGAAACTTTATTAGGTACTACTGGTCTATTTGCCATTCCTAAACTGTTACATAATAAATTCTAGTAGAAGGGGTTCTCCCAACTTATTCTGCAACCCTCCTTCCACCACAAATTATAGCAGGTTTTCTTGGACCTTAACTTTTGGTATGAGTTTTAATGTCATTTTAACACATTCTGTGAAAAACCCTGTTGAGATTTTAATTATTAATACATTATAGTTATTGATTAGTTCAGTGAAAACAGATCTTTGTATGTATGTTTTCTTGTTTATGAAAAGATTTGTCCATTAATATAATTTTATCCATTAAGGCCTTGCACATCTTTTGTTAGTTTTATTCTTAGGTACCTAATAGTTTTTTTTTTTTTTCCTGTTAATGGATGCTTCCTTAAAATTACAAACTTGTGCAGTTCTCAAAATAATTTTTCTTAAGATTTAATTTTTAAGTAATCTCTACACCCTACAAGGGGGTCAAACTTACAACCCCGAGATCAAGAGTCACATGCTCTACTGACTCAGTCAGCCAGGTGCCCCTCAAAATAATTTTTTAATAATTTGCTATTATAATTCAAAATATATTTCTAAAATTCCTGAAATGTCAACTTTTAGTATAAAATACATACAAATTGTACAAAAATACAAGAGATACCCTCTGAAATGTGAAAGTATTAGTATATTATTTCTCTCAAAATTGGAAGGAATGTGTAATGTTTTTTATAGTACATGATTTAAAAAAAAAAAAAAGCCAAAGTCTAGAAAATGTTGATTCAAGTCCCTTGCTGTATTTTAACACTATATTTTGTTTTTCTTCTTTTAAAAAAATTTTTATTTATTTTATTTTGTTTTATGTTTTTAAAGGTTGTATTTATTTGAGAGACAGAGTGAGAGAGAGGGAGCATGAGCAGAGAGAGGGGCAGAGGGAGAGGGAGAAGCTGACTCCTTGCTGAGTAGGGAGCCCAACTGGGGGCCGGATCCTAGGACCCTGAGATCATAACCTGAGCTGAAGGTAGACACTTAACCAACTGAGTCACCCAGGTACCCTAAAATTTATTTATTTATTTTAGAGAAAGAGAAAATCAAGAGTTGGACACTTAACCAACTGAGCCACCTAGTCACCCCTCTTGTTCTTTTTAGTTTATGAGTTTACATTTATTTATTTATTTATTTATTTCCCACATGCGGTGGGAAGGAAGGGGAGAGGGAGAGAATTTCAAGCAGGCTCCCCCTCCGGGGCTTGATCTCACCACTCTGAGTTCATAACCTTAGCCAAAATCAAGAGTTGGACACTTAACCAACCAATTAAAAAAATTAATTCTGGAATATTAAAAACGTTAATGTTATTTATTTATTTCCCATAGGAAGGAGGGAGAGAATTTCAAGCAGGCTCCCCCTCGGGGGCTGGATCTCAGCACTCTGAGTTCATAACCTTAGCCAAAATCAAGAGATGGACACTTAACCAACTGAGCCACCCAGTCACCCCTCTTGTTCTTTTTAGTTTATGAGTTACCCTTATTGATAGTGAGCTATTTATTTTGATTTACAAAACTAAGTAGGTTCATTCTGAACAATCAGAATGTAAACTTATGTTAAGGAGGTAATTAAGCACTTGAATGTTAATTAAGTTGAATCCAGGTAGTGATTTAATTTACCACTAATAAACATATTCACTGTTCTAAGCATTTCAGGGAAGACAGATTAATAAGTCACATCTTACACCATTTTCCTAAATCATAAAGAAAATTAGGAGGTCCCAGTAAATTACTTCTGGATTATCCAGTTTCCAATATTACCTTAACAGGGGAACAGCTACCATAAAACTTGGAAGCTAAAAGTTTTTAAGGTAGCTATTTTAAGGTCCATGCAGGAATACCCTGAAATAGGCATGGAGCCACTGTAGTGCTGAGTCTCAAAACTATTTTTCTTTCCTTCCCTTTCATCTTCATCCTAGGCTACAACCTGTTTTTCCTGGCTCTCAGTAATTCTCAGTACGGGGGCGCCTGGGTGGCTCAGTCTTTAGGCGTCTGCCTTTCGCTCGGGTGGTGATCCCACGGTCCCAGGATCGAGCCCTGCATCGGGCTCCAGCCCCGCATCCGGCTCCCTGCTCAGCGGGAAGCCTGCTTCTCCCTCTCCCACTCCCCCTGCTTGTGTTCCCTCTCTTGCTGTGTCTCTCTCGGCGAAATAAATAGAATCTTAAAAAAAAAAAAATTCTCAGTATGGTCAAACATTTGGCCTTAAAAATAAATCTTGAAGTCCTGTCGTTGTCTTACACAAATATCTCAAGTTTGCCCCAAATACCATGATCTCGGTATACAGTCGATGGGAATTTAGTTGCCCAACCAACTGTGCGGTCAACAGTCCAGAGCAGCTCCGCGACCAGGGCGATCCAGTTAATCCCCCTTGCCCATACTCAGGCCAAATTCAGAGACTTTTCCGGGGGTTATTTCAGGGCATGCCCCTCGCTTCCCTGAAAAACTCAGCCATAACTCAAACCCAGCCCCCCAAACGCTCCTGATCAGCTGACTAAAGCTTCACAGCCTTTCGGGTCTTGTCAGAGATCAGGCTCACGCCTGAGGAGGAGCCTGCGTTTTCGGACTAGCAGCAAGCCGGGCCGAGGGTTTTATGACCGAAAAACCGAGCTCACAGCAACGGGCCCATTGTGCTTGAGGTTAGAAAGTCGTCTTCAGCCTCTGACGCAGACGGAGGCCCCGCCCTGCGCATGACGCCAGCGTCAGGCCAGTCCCGGCATGCTCCGCGGTCGCTGGCGGTGGAGCGCAGACGAGCGGAATTTTTCCTCTGAACATCCGCTGCTCAGTTCAGCTGCTGTCCAGACCCGGGTCGGCTAAAGTGCCGCGTCCAGCCATTCTCCTACCGCTCGCCCGTCAGTTTGAGCGCCCCTAGCCCTCCTGCGAGGGCGCCCCGGGACGGAAGGATCCACCAGCCTGTCGGCGCCCGCCGTTCTCGTGGTCGCCGTCGCCGTCGTCGTGGTGGTAGTCTCTGCCGTCGCCTGGGCCATGGCCAATTACATCCACGTTCCGCACGGCTCCCCGGAGGTGCCCAAGTTGGACGTCACGGTTCAGGATCAGGAGGAGCAGCGCTGCCGGGAGGGGGCCCTCAGCCTCCTGCAACACCTGCGGCCGCACTGGGACCCTCAGGAGGTGACCCTGCAGGTAACGCCCACATCTCAGCACGGGGTCTCTCACAGCTCAGACTGGGCCTTAAGGCGGGGGGGGGGAGGGGGGGGGAGGGGTGTTTCTCCCAACCTCTTCAGTTCCCTGATGATCGGGGAGAACCAACGGGAACGTCTTGTTCCTCAGTCCTTTGGGAAGTGACCGTGTGTTTCCTCCATAAAACCTACGAAGGTCACTCCCCCTTTCTTCACAATTGCTTATTGAGGTTGTCCTTAGGGCAAATTTTCTTTCTGGAAGCAGCTACGTAAGTGACGCACCCATTCACACCCGGAAAATTCCTGTTGATGGTTGCCCCTCCTCCCACTCCCCAGGCCCTTCTAACTGCAAAAGGAACCTTTTCCATTCCCCTTGCAAGGGGTCCTCTTCAGTCGTCCCTAGGTACCCTCTTTCCTTCCACAGATGATGCGGTGATTAATCCTTCTGATCTTTTCCTTTCCCTTCCCGCCCCTCCCCCTCCGCGGCGGTTTACTCCCATTGATGTCTCACCCTGCGTTTTATCTTCTCAAATCCTCGGATTGGCGAGTACTCGATTTCAAAGTAATAACCATGGTCATGCATTACTCGATTGGTTTCTTAGGTAGCACTACACATATTTTATTTGAATCGGTATTTCTGATTTTTTTAGTCGTATTAGTAAAATTAACCGTATTTGATGTTAGATCGATCAGTGTGCCATTGTATTCATAGAACAAAAATTGGGAGAAAAAAATCCTTAGGGATCTAGGTGTTTTCTAAAAACTTATTTCTAATAAGTTATGATTTAGTATGACATTTATTTTGAGTATTTTAACTTTTAGAGGTTCAGGATATACGACAGTGAACCTCCATTTTCCTTGCATACACAAAATAGTTAATAATTTTGAAGGCTGAGATATTGGGTTTGTTTCAAATCTGAGCAATAATGTAAGAAGTAGCTAAATTATCTGCTTTATTTTATTGACTAATTTATTCAGCAGTGTTATTGACTTAACAGTATCTCAGATTCTAAAGTAGTCACCTATACAAAGATGAATAAAACATGAATGGTGCTCTAGGGCTCAGAATAGTTCCTGACACTTGAGCTTCCGGAAGTGTTAGTTTCAGTTCTTGCTGCCTAGAAGAGTTTTGAGCATATTGAAAAGAGCCATATGTTTTGGGATAGAAAATTGTTAGACAAAAATTTTGGAATTTTAAGGGAGTGTTAGCTAACTAAACAGGACATAGTCAATCCAGAATGATTTTCATGTGTAATTTAAAAAAATTAGTATGCTAAGAAAGTTAAATTAATTGAAACTTCCAGAATCAAAACTTCCAAATTGAAACTGTGAACTTCTTTAGTTTATTATTCATTATCTCTTATTACAGAAGAGTTTTATATTTATTAAAATGATTTATATTCTGGTAGTCAATTATAAACTAAACAGGTATTAATTAAAGGCAGTGCTGCTTCCTGGGAAACTTTGGTATTGGCAGACTATGCTACTTTTTAAGTAGAGACTTTAAAATTTGAAGCTTTGAAAACTGGTGTTTCCACTGATGATGTATTTGTCTGTAGAACAGTAATAATAGCTATGCTTAGGTACCAATGTGCCAGGTTGTGAGTTAGGTCATGTATATATTTTATCATTTCATTCTACAAATAACTGTATTAGGTAGATACTTTTTTTTTTTTTAAGGCGAAACTCAGTGAAATAAAGCCAAGGTGTAGGTAAAAAAAAGGGACAAATGTGGTTACATCAAACTTTTTGATTGTCAGAAAGTACTTGGGATTGAATCTTACCTTTTATCTATGCAGCAACTTTTTTTTTATTATTATGTTATGTTAATCACCATGCATTACATCATTAGTTTTTGATGTAGTGTCCCATGATTCATTGTTTGCGTATAACACCCAGTGCTCCATTCAATACATGCCCTCTTTAATTACCCATCACCAGGCTAACCCATCCCCCCACCCTCTCCCCTCTAGAACCCTCAGTTTGTTTCTCAGAGTCCATAGTCTCTCATGGTTTGTCTCCCCCTCCGATTTGCCCCCCTTCATTCTTCCCCTCCTATGCAGCAACTTTTGACTTTAAGGCCTTTGGACTCCTAATCCAAACTAATTACTTATTTGTCAGCGAAGGTAAATACTACCACTTATTTTGCTGTAAGGATGATTATGAGTTAGAAATATAATCCTTCCCTGTGCAAACAATGCTTTTGATCCAGAAGCTGAGACAGCTGTTACTCTGAATTGGTGGTCATTCATTGGTGGTTTCTCACCTTGAGAAAATCTGACTCCCATATTCTGTCATTCCAAACTCTTCTTTATGATGCTTCATGGTTTCTTTAGTAAATCTCAATGGGAATATTTCTTTTGAGATTTGCTTTTATTTCCTTTGAAGTATAAAGAAAACAGTCATACTTAGCACTTCAGAAGGGGAAGTATGTATCATATATTCAACAGATTAATACTAGTATGTAGCCCATTTTTTTCAAAGAAATTTTTTTCTAAAATTTTTATGTAATTAAAATATGCTTCTAATATACCTTAGAAGCTTAGTCCAGTAATACTTATCCGGCTACTACGTCTGAGCTGAACTATTTGGAACATACTGGTAAATCCAGAAGCAAGCAAAAAAGACTTTGATGCAGTCAAAATGATACAGGGCCCAGTCTTTACTCAAAACTTATAGACACATGGAATGCTATATCTCTTTTTACATGGGATTTTAACAAGTTAATTTTTTGGTTTTCCTATTCACACAAGATTGAAAAAATAAAGTATAAAAGGGGTGGTAAGCTTTTTGGAGTGTACCCTACTTAGAGTAGGCAGAGTAGATCAGAAACAACTACTGTACCAGTCACAGTGCTTTTTATTTCATAATATTTTATTGAAATTCCAGTCTAATAGGGAAGATAAAACAATCACAACATAGTGTTTTTGGAATGAAAATTCATATTCATGTGCAAAGACTACAGAAGAACATTTAAAAAGCATACTGGTTTTCTTTCTGCTGTACTACAAGTTTGTCATGTTTTTGGATGCATAGTTTTGATATTTATTTTTTAAGCATACATATACTATCTTGGAAACCAGTATTTGTGTTTGGTTGTGTAGCTACATAGCAGTTTTCATATCCCCTTCCTTCTCTTTACGTAGCTATGTTGGAGATAGTCACTAAAATATCCTATTAAAAAACCTATAATCCCTCTTATTTTAATATTGATATTTGATATTTCATATTTGATAATATTTATTTTTTTAAAAAAGATTTCATTTATTTATTTGACAGAGAGCGAGCACACACACACACAAGCAGGGGGAGAGGGAGAAGTAGGCTCCCCGAGGAGCAGGGAGCCCAGTGCGGGGCTTCATCCCAGGACCCTGAGATCATGACCAGAGCCGAAGGCAGAGGTTCAACCAACTGAGCCACCCAGGCGCCCCTTTAATAATATTTTATTTTATTTTTTAACGATTTTATTTATTTGACAGAGAGAACACAGTGAGAGGGAACACAAGCAGGGGGAGTGGGAGAGGGAGAAGCAGGCTTCCCGCAGAGCAGGGAGCCCGATGTGGGGCTTGATCCCAGGTCCCCGGGATCATGACCTGAGCCGGAGGCAGACGCTTAATGACTCAGCCACCCAGGCGCTCCTATTGTTTTATTTTTATTTTTTAAGATTTTATTTATTTGTCAGAGAGCACATAAGCAGAGGGAGGAGCAGAGGGAGGTAGAAGGAGAAGCAGGCTACCGGCCGAGCAGGGAACCTGATGCGGGACTTGATCGCAGGACCCCGGGATCATGACCTGAGCCGAAGGCAGATGCTTAACCTACTGAGCCACCCAGGCGTCCCACCTTTAATAATATTTTAAATGAAGAATCAAAACCAAAATATATATAGTTCTATTAAACTATGTCTCCTTTAGTGTTCTAACTTAATAATCCCCCCCGTTTTTTTAAAGTATAGTGGACACAAATTTGTTACCTTAGTTTCAGGTGGGGTTTATTTATTTTTTTCTGTTTTTAAAAAGATGAGTTTGGGGGTGCCTGGGTGGCTCAGTAGGTTGAGCATCTGACTCTTAATTTCAGCTTGGGTCATGATTTCCGGCTCCAGGCTACACTTGGTGTGGAGTCTGCTTGAGATATTCTTTCTCCCTCTCCCTCTGCAGGCCCTCTCCCCCCCCCACCCCACCGGCTTGTGCCACAGTCTCTCAAATCAATAAATAAATCTTAAAAAAAAAACAGAGTTTGTTCTTTAAGTGATAGAAGTCTCTAAAAAGTCTTAGGTAGATTTAAGTAATGTATTAAGTGTGCCAGAAGGACATGATATTTATAGGAATCTTGAATCCTGTAGATAAATCTAAGAGGTCATAGTTTTTTATTCAACATAACTTTTAATATCAGCACTTAGGTCCAGTTTTCCATTTCTTATTCCTCCTCTTTTTGATTTCAGTGTTTTATAATAATAAAGTATTTGGTGGGTGGTAGGCCCTAAGACTTTGTTGAATATAGCTAAGAGAGATGTATGATGTTTGATAAACTCCTATCAGAGATGTATATATATACATATATATAAATATATATTTTTAAGTAGTCTCTATACCCAACGTGGGGCTTGAACTCATGACTTTGACAGCAAGAGTTGACACTCTACCAACAGCTAGGCTCCCCAAAGATGTAATAAGCTCCCATGTCTTTTATTAAGATGTGACTAAAAGGTGGCTCAGTTGTTAACCGTCTGCCTTCGGCTCAGGTCATGATCCCAGCGTCCTGGGATCAAGCCCAACATCGGGCTCCCTGCTCTGTGGGAAGCCTGCTTCTCCCTCTCCCACTCCTCTTGCTTGTGTTCCTGCTCTTGCTATCTCTCTCTCTGTTAAATAAATAAAATCTTCAAAAAAAAGATGTGACTAAGAAGTCAGAAGCCTCATATGCTAGTTCATTTTCAGGTATTGATGGCTGTGTGACTTGGACTAAACAAACAACTTGACCTCTCTTTGGGGCCTCAGCATAATGTGGTGG